GGCAGCCGGGCCGTGCAGACAATACGGGGCCCGCGGCGCAAGCCAGCACGCTATGCCGCAGCAGCAGCAGGCAGCAGCAGCAGGCCCGCAGCGACAGCAGCGAGTAGTAGTAGTAGTCGTAGTAGTAGTAGTAGTCGAGGTAGTAATTAATCAGCAGCGAGCAGCAGCAGCATAAGCAGCGAGCGATCCGCCAACAGCAGCAGCAGCAACAGCAAGTAGCATAGCAAAGCAGCAGTTAAGCCGACAGCAAAGCGCAACACCACTACACCAAACCAGCTGAGTAGCAGAGCAGTGAGCAAGAGCAGTAGGGCAGCAACGCAAGCACAGCAGCAGAGCAGTAGCAGTAGCCAAGTAGCAGTAGCAGCACAGTCCGCAAGCAGCACAGCAGTCAGCAGCAGCTAGGCAGCAGCAGTACAGGGGCAGCAGCAGCAGCACAGCAGCCAGTAGCTAGTAGCAGGCAGGCAGTCAGCAGTAGGCAACTAGCGCAAGCAGCAGTACACGCAGCAGGAGGGAGCGCCCCGGTAGCTCGCCCGATAGGGCCGCCGCGGTGCAGACTCGGATAATCTGCTGGCCGTTAGGAGTTCAGTCCTGCCTGCAAGGCTTACGGTCATGTCCACAAGCAACAACAACCACCAGCTACCACCAGCATAGCGAGCAGCAGCCAGAAGTACAGCAGCACAGCAGCAGTAGCAGCACCACAGCAGCAGCAGCAGCAGCATGACTGCCCTGGCATGCGCGCGACGGTGCGCGGTCCGCAACGCTATCATCTATTGTGCGCGCCTGATCTCTGCTCTCTCTTCTCTCTAATCTCCCTGCCAAGCGTTGTCCTAAAACCGCACAACAGGAGACGCTTTCTGCCTAAACGCTTCGCGGTTAATTCTATAGACTGGCGCGGCATTATAGATGCTTTTTTGCGGACACGCCGTGCACGCGTTGGCAGGTGCGTGCGTGCGTGCGCGTGGCGTGCGTGCGTGCGTGGCGTGCGTGCGTGCGTGCCGTGGCGCGCGTGTATGCGCCTGGAGTGTCGTCATACATTGGAATCTCTGCAAGAGTAATGCTGGCATACGAAATAAGCGTGTAAATGACGACTATATATAATTATTATATATATATATATATATATATATATATTTGTTTGGTTATTTGTCTGTTTTATTTCTTCTTCTTGTATATTATATATAATGGAATATCTTATGTATTTTTTATTTATGATTCCCGTATATAGTAACTTCATACACGGTGGCACGAGCGACGTACCCATGCATGCAGTCGCGTACAAACTAAATTCATGCTTGATCGTATACAGTATATTTATATTACTGGGCTGACGTGAATTAATAGCATTCGATGGAATGTCACAGTCCTGCCAGTGAGCGCGGGCGAGCGTCGCAAACATGCGCAGTAACGGACTTTGCACCTCGTGGCCGCGTGTGTTAGCTCTTATCTCCGACATGCATACCTAAGCCGGAGTTACTGCTGGGCTCTGCTAACTACTACGTGCTGCTACTGGCTGGCTGCTAACTGGCTTGCGCTGCTGCTGCTGCTGGCTGCTGCTACATGCTGCTGCTGCTGTTACTACTGCTGATACTGCTACTACTCCCTGCTGATACATCCTGCTGTTGCGTAACTACTATGCTGGCTGCCTGATAACTGTATACCTGCTGCTGAGGACTACTACTGCTGATGTACTGCTACTGCTGGCTGTGCTGCTGCTGCTGCTGGCTGCCGCTTGGCTGCTGATATGGCTACTTAGCTGCCTGGGCTGCTGTCTCTTGGCTGCTGCTATACTACTGGCTGTCTGCTGATTACTCTGCTGCGCTGGCTACTAGCTACTGGCTGGATACTGGCTACTGCTACTGCTTGCTGCTGCCTGCTGGCTGCTGATACTCGCTGAACCTACTGCTGCGCTGGCCCTCTACTGCTACACTGCTATGCTGGCTATACTGCTGCTGCTGGCTGACTATATACTACCTACTCAGCTAAAGCTACTCTGCTGCTGCTGCTGCTACTAACTACTACTACATACTAACTACTATTATAGCTACTGCTGCTGCTGTGGCTGCTCTGCTGCTTGCTGCTGCTGCTGGCTGCTGCTGCCTGCTGCTGCACTGCTGTGGTAGTGATGGTGCTGCTACTGGCGCTAACATACTGGTGCTACTATCTGCTACGGCTACTACTGCTTGCTGCTACTGCTGCTGCTAACTACTGATGCGAATCACTCTGCTGCTGATACTGTTGCTGCTGGGCGCTTGCTGCGCTTGGACTTCTCTCTCTCTCTCTCTCTCTCTCTTTCTCTTTCTCTCTCTCTCTCCCTCCCCCCTCTCCCCCTATCGCTCCCTCCCTCTTCCCCTTACCATTTCTCCCTTTATCTCTGTCTGCATAGCTGCCAGGCGATGACTATATAAAGGCGCCCACGCTGTCAGCTATGATACGTCGGCGAGTCACCATCAGATAATGTTTGCCCGCGGCAGTCTTTGTCTCCGGCATTAGAGAAACCCAGCACATTGATATTACCCGGCGTTTAGTGACCGTCTAAGCCAATTACCTATATCTATAAATTGATTAAAAGATGAAGACATGTCTGGCTCATGTGACGTGCGCGCGCACGCATGCGCGCATACACGCGCACCAGCACGCACGCATACACCCGCAACGCACGCACGCCTGTACGGGCGCACGCTGAACTCACGCACGTATGTGTACGCGCATGTGCATGAGCTTCAAGTGAATGGTACCTCACATAGTAGCGTGACGTACACGCACCTTTTGTCGTGTCATCGGTTTCTGTGTCGAGGTTAACGATTCAACTATAGAAAATATAGACGCAGAAAGAATACCCAAACAACGTATGATTCGTAGAAACGTAAATAATATACACTGTAATAATGAATTTCAATAATTACACACACACATACTAATTAATAAATAAATGCAATGCATGTCACGTGTCAATCAATCAATTCCGCAGCGTCACCGCCCACTCAGACATCTGCGCCCCCTCGCGGGGCAGCAGCGCCGTCTAAATTAGATTCTTGAATGTTTTAATTATATAAATTAGGGTTCGACTCGTGATTAATAAATACGCGCTGACTACATTTGCACCTTTGTGATGATGTGATAGCGAGCGGTTACACGTTTATGTGGATAGGCTAGCAACACGGTGTGGAGCGTTGATACACGGCTCCGGCAGAGCTGTATATATGTATGTATCTACCGCAGATGCAACGTCGCGTATTTCAACATGCTCTGCTAGCATCTATGACAAATACGACTTACGCATATACGCTCTCCTATGACACTATTTGTCATAGGAAGATTCTTGCTTGCCTATGACAAATATTGGCGAGTCACGTTCGGTCTCCGCTTTACAGCTGAAATTCACTGCTTGCGGTCATAATAGCGCTCCTAAACTCTTATGATGCGCACAACACTACACAATATTTGTCATAGGAAGAATCTTCCTATGACAAATAGTGTCATCAGGAGAAGGCTATATGGTATGTCGTATTTGTCATAGTCAAGTAGACAGGCTGCGTATTCTGCTGTTCGCAGCGTAGGTTACCATTCATATAACAAGTCTGCGTAGCGACGTCACAGCTACACAGCGAAAACAACCAGGCAAGAATAAACACAGACATTAGAAATATGCGCAGTATTATAAATACGTGCCCACGCGCGCACATACAAGCACATACAAATGCACAAACACGTTCACTTGTTCGTAATATGTACAGATCAACTAGCCAATCACACGCCACGATCACCTTATTGCTTGCGCGTGCGCGCACCATTCTCACGTATATACGTTTTGATATTATCGATACGGATTGTATACACACGTCTGTGATACAACTATAAATGTTACAGACCGCCTGTCTGTCTGTTTGTTG